GATAATGTTTTCAAAAGCACCAATTGACCGAGAAGGGTCTGGCTGCAGATTTGCACTTTCACTCTCAGGCTTACACTCTTGGGCTTGCACTTTAAGACACCCATGCTTCCAGTGCAAGTGACCTCATTTACAACAGATGTGGCAGAACAGTGCAGGGCTCGTTTGCATGAAAGTCGTTAACCAAAAAATCCCCTCAGTTTTAAGGGTTAAGGGTACCCTTAGTAAAAGTTGGGTTGCAAAAAATTTGGTGCAGCTTCAAAAGTCTCTACATGATTCCATCCCAGTTTTATAGGTCCTCCAAACATAATCTCGAAATCGACTCGATAAGGGAATGTCTCGACTCGCTTAACAAAAAGAAAACGGCACAGATGATGTGTACTGCAGAGCTGTTTTAAGGCAAGCATTCGTGGTTTGTTACGATTTGTTTACATACATAACTAGAACAACTGCAGCACCCGTCACCGTATGCTGCCAGAAACTTTAGTGAAATGCTTAGCAAAAAGGCGCTTAGGTAAGGGTGACGGATAAGAAGTTTTTTGCAACGCTCTTAATGAAATCCCTTATTTAAATTACTAAAGGACTTTTACGCAAGCGGGCACAGGTGTCGATTGTAAATGACGTCGCTTGCAGAGGAAACGCGGTTGCCTGAGAGTGCAAGCTCAAGAGTGCAAGCCTGAAATTGCAAGTGCAAATCTGTAGCCAGACTCTATTGAATTGACCCGATTACACATTTCCCTAAACCTAATCAACAATGCTTTCAAAAGCAATCCAGAAAAGGAAAAGCCCTCTTTTTTACCACAATTTCAGATCTTACCACATTCTCACCCTGTTATTTACTTGATTTTTTGAACCTGCTTTCTGGAACCGTTTTTTTATCAGACTCGAACCCCGTCATCGTGGTCAACTCATGTGTCTCAAGTCCGCCAACGTACATGGCAAGCTACTGAAACTTGTAACAGCAAAAAATCCGTCCTCACAGAAGTAAGTGGTCAGCTGGTGCCACAAAAAGAAACAGTATTACCTCATTTGTTTTAAAGAAATGCAACCATACAGAGCTCTGGCTTCATAATTCATGATCTTCAGGAATGTATAGGGGGGTACACAATGACCCTCTGGTGAATTTAGCTGTCGTCACCTTTGCAATCCACTTGTAATCAAATGCAGGATTCATTTCTTAAGTTCTGATTGCTAAATCTCTCAGCATTCCTTGTCAAAAAGAAAAATAATAATATTGATGAAATTATAGGCAATAAAAAATGGAAAATTTCCAGCTAAATCAATCAGGCTCGCGTATCATTTCATCATAAATTAGCATTTTAATTCCAATAGCTAATATCATTTAGCATTATCAGTACTGCTAATATAGTTCTTATACTCTTTTTGGGACAAAATTGTGTTTGTCTTAGCACATTTATAATTGGATTAATGTTTGCATGTTATGTAGATTGTTTGTTTAAACAGCATCACCCTAATATATGATAATCGCACATCAACAATCATTATTCCTTTAGGTTGTACATTTCTATTATTATATACTTTCTTGTAAAACATTTTATTTTACAGTATATGAGTTATGATTCAATCAAAAAGATGATAAGGCACTGCAGTTTTGTTATCCACTGCTTTAAACGCTCCTCTTTAAGTCAGGATTGATTTTGATTGCCTGCCAATTTCTTTATGCATTATAAAATGTTTCTCTGTGTCTTTAGCATTATAATTGTGGTGTGCACTATACTCTATTCTCTTAGAACTAGATTGATTATAAAGATTATACTAGCACTTTCAGTTATCTAAACATTGTCCTTGGTCTGAACAGGCTTTCATGCTTTGCCCACGTTATAAGGAGAGTATGCATCAAACTTGAGCGATTTACTGTTGCTATGGCTGCTTCCTGAGCGAATGCAAATTCTGTTGATGAATCTCTGCACAGTGCGTTTGGTGCTCATCCACTTTTTCAGCAGTGCTGCTTCCCGAAGAATTTTTCTTTATTATTAAGCGTTACAAGACATTAACTACCCCAAACAAGCGGTGATTTGAATCCCAACACTCCTAAGTTTGATTTGAAGCATATATAAGTGTATGAAAATCAGATAATGAGACAAGTTTGTGTGCTTAACACTTTCAAACACTCAAAGAACTACAATTCCACAGATTGCCTATTAATCACACAACCAAATTCAAAACAACAGAGTTATAAAACAATGTACTTAAAGATGTTTGTTAGATCTATGGGGACAAACAATATGCGTTTATTGCTAAATATGCAATGTATATTAAAATATTCAAGTATTTTCAAGGTGCCTCATGTGAGTGGGTGAAGCTAAAGATCTTTTTTGATGCACTTTGCAAGTCAGAATGAACCGGAAGTCTCTACCAACATCACTTAAAGGAGTTGTTCACCAAAAAATTTCAATTTACAGTTCATTTACTCGCCTTTAGGCCATTAAACATGTAGTTGGCTTTTATATAGGTAAAACATTTAGCCGCACTGTAAAAAATGTCAGTTAATCTCTGTATTTTTGAGATTTCTTCGTAATATACAACACCAACCCAGACAATATATCCTTTTAAACTATTAAAAATACTAACAAAGTCACGTTTTTCAGGGTTAAAAGTTGTTAAAAGATAGATTAAAGTCCCATAATGAAATTCAAATGCATAAATAAATGGGGAAAAATTAAAAAATGAATCACAATGTACAGAAAACTGCTTTTACAATATACCTTTACAATGTATATCTGTGCTCATTGGAGATTTGTGTAATGCAAGTCAATGGACACCTTCCAACAAGTAAAAATCAACTCCTAGTGATGTTTTATGAAGTGAACTGATGGGTCTGTGCAAGAAATTGAACATTATTTACAATAATATCAGCTTTAATCCACAGCCTGGGTAAACAGATATTGGTGTGCCTTTACTACACTTGAGCGCATGTGACTATGGTCACCATTGACTTACATTATAAAACCACCAAAACCATGGATTCAGCTAAAACTCTTTATTTTCTAATGAAGAAAAAAAAAGTTCAGTAACACTTTAGTTTTTGTAACAATTTACACCATTTACTACTGGGTTATTACCTGCCTTGTGTTAAGATGTTAACTGTTTATTAGCAGATATATAGTATGATCTTATTTTACATCCCTGATCCTCCCAAGTACCTAAACCCAATTACTACCATACTGACTAATATGTAGCTAATTTGTATTTTATTGAGTTAAAAGTCTCAGTTAAAGGTTTGTTAATAGTGTAAACTGTACATTAAAAGAAACTGATCAAAAATCTCTTGGATAGCCTGAGGATGAGCAAATTAACTGTAAATTAACTGATTTTGGTGAACTATCTCTTTAAGCATTGTTATGTATTCCCAACTAAAAATTTGAACTGGTGGGTGGGTTTTATTTTAGTGTCACCCTTGTCATCTCTCGCTCACAGCAAACTAGCAATTTAAAAGAAATGGTATTTAATATTTTGACCAAGCCTTTATAATACAGCATTCAGTGCAGATTTTAAATGGGTCTGATATGTTTTGTGGTCTGTGTGACTCGCGGAGCAGACCATTTGTGTGTGCCATTTGTGTGATACTAACATGAAACCAGACTTAATTTACCGCAATGGAATATTTACAATGTCTGAATCATTCATCTCCTCTATACTGCACTGTGTGTTACTCAGCATCATGAAAATTGTACTTAAGTGGGCAACAGATTTAATTTTGAGCGGTTATAAGTTGTGGCATGCTGACTGTGTATGTGTGGGCAATGCATTTCCCCCTTGGGGCTTGCAATAGATAGGTGAGTATACATGAGGACTGCATGCTTCAGCATTCCTTCCCACATTGTTCTGACCAGCAACAAGAGTTCAGATTAGCATTGCACTGGCTACCATTTATTATATTCGAATGTGTATGAATGCTTGGTTACATGTGAATAAGTGAGTGATTTCTGACAAGTCTGATGGCAGTGGAATAGTTTAGATTGTAGAGAGCTTTTGATAAGTCAGAAGATGCAGGGTGGTATCATGGAATAGATCCATTTTGGCAAGTTTTAAATGTTAAAATGCGTATGTTGTTATTGCTTTGGAGCATACTACTAGCGTATAATCTTAAAACTAACACTTTGATACTAGCACACCCTTTAAAAGGGGGTTAAAAGCTTTATTTGTTATCATTATTAACAAAAAAAAAAACATTTATGGAGTTAATACTTCTGGAATCTGTTTAGTGCACTCCTATGATTTTAATTTAATACTTTTAGTTTCATTTACTTTTATTTTATTATTTTTGTTTGTGACAGACCTTTAGAAATGCATACATGCTATATAATATATGCTATATAAACATTACATGCTTATTTTATTAAAAGATTATCCTGCATAGCTTTTACTCCATATTTACTTTTTTCTTTTTTTGACCGTCTGTTGGGAGGTAAAGGGGGGGTCAAGCTTCTGGCCGTCAAAACGCCCCCGCCCCCCTCCCACAATTCCCACCCTGGAATCAAAGATCTACTGTACCAGCTGCGCTGTCCACTACATGGTACTGAAATCACTCAGAGCTCTGGCACATGGACACAACAAAGATGTAACATTAGAAATGACGATAAAGAGGGTCGTCTTTGCTGAACAACCCACAACACACCCGGCTTCACGGGACAATCTTGATCTGTGCCTTTTAGTATAACACAAGAAAGACCCATAAAAAATACATTTTGATATAATTTGTCTCTTTTTCCGCAGATTTGTCATTTCAAAATGTCCTCGTGGTCAGTTACCATCTTACTCCTCTCCTGAAATGGTGTCATGAATTATTCTGCATGTCGTACAGAAACACCCAGCGCAGCCTAATGCCTAAAAAAAGAACTTTTTATATATTTAATGCGCATTCCGGAGAAATAATGACAGAAACCACTGCGAATTCCTGATTCTAACATGTCAGGTTTGAGCATCTGTGCTTTCTGAGGGCTCAGGCTCGGTCACCATCACACAGACACCGATCATCTCACCTCTTTCTCGTTGATGTTGGAAATTCATGGACTCCCTCCGACCCCTTCGCCTTCGCTTGGTTCGTCTGTGGTGCTCCAGCTTTCCTCAGTGCGACTTAATCCATTTCACGCTTGTACAATATATCTTTGTGTTCACTTCCCCCTTGTCCGCTGAAGGTAAGTGAACGGATAAAAGTATGAATGGAGCTGGACACTCCACTTGAATCTCCACAGCCTAGCAAAGTCCCAGAAGTAGAGGTGAGTAATTTCCTCGCAATTGGGCCACTTTCTCCCGGAGAGCTCAAATACAGAGCTCTCGGATGAGCGGGTAGTAAACGAAACAGGAATGCGGTGACTGTGTAGGGCACCGTGAACACAAAAGGCTACTGGGAAGGGGGTTTCTTAAGGGAGGGGACAGAAACGAGGGAGGAGGCGTGCCACTTTTTAACACAAACACACGGAGAGCATCTTAACCCCCGCTTATTTCCAGTCATCAACCACTAATGTGTAACAAAAGAGATGCAGAGACGCGACGGATTGGACGGGAATTCCGTTCACCACCGCAAGGGTTAAATCGCTCCTCTCTTTGTGCGCGTGCATCGTTTGCTCCATCATGCTGGACGCTGCCTGTACTTTACTTTTAGCCCTCAAAGCGGAGGAAATGTAGAATGGGGACCATGCCGTATGGTGCTCAGTGTCTTTGTTTATTTGTACGGGGTGGGGCTGCTTTTGGTTCACGGTCTTCTTTGTGTCTAGGTATGTTTCCCGTCAGCGGCGGACAGCAGCACATGGCGCCGCACGCCTCCAAGTCAGCGCGTCATCAGGCGCGCGCTCGAGTCACTCTCGCGTCCTCCTTCAATAAAGCTACGACGAGTGCTTCCAGCTTTATTCTGCCGTCTGCATCCTTTAAATCTGTTCTACATTTATTAGGAATAGGATAACCCATCTTTATTTGTGTCAAAGCAGCTAAATCTTGGGCAGATGACACAAAATGTAGTAGCCTATGCATCGGATTGCAGATTACATGATGAAAATGATGTCAGTAATGTAATTACACATTGAAGTTAATGTATTCTGACCACTTTTGGATTACTTTTAAATTACTTTTTAAGGGATAGTTCACCCCAAAATTGTAATTAAGTAACCTTCAAGTGGTTACAAACCTTTGAGGTTTAGATATTGAAGAATTTAGGATATTTTGAAGAGTGGTGGAAAGTCATTTGCATCCATTTGGGGTAAAATACTATAGAAGTCAATGGTTAATGTTTTCCAACAATTGAAGGTGAGTAAATGATGACATAATTTTCATTTTGGGGTGAGCTACCCTTGTCTCCTCATGCTCCCAAAACTGAACAGTCAAAACAAATACAGTTTTTTTTAATCGGTGGTGTCAGCCCATTACATTTCTGTTATGAAATGTAAATTTATTTAATCAAAATGTAAAACAAGTCATTTTGAATTAATAAAATTTTCATGTTTTTAATTACTCTCTGAAAAGAATGTTGCACACAAACGCACAAATCTCCAGCAAATCTCATCACACACAACACCAAATGTGCCATTCCAGGGGACTGAAGCGAGGGGTGAAAAATAAAACCAACTCCTCCCCCTGTTTCCCTCTCTCCCACACTAGGAGAATAGGGGGGTCTGGTCTCAGCAATGCGTTCACCGTTAGTCTCCCTGGAGACTGTATGAGGCCTCTTGGGCAGTCGTCCTATACCTCAGGACTGGGCCCAGCTGCAGGAGTTAATAAAATCATCAGTCAGCCATTCAGCCTCACTCCTCACATCCTCTCTGGCCAATTAGTCGCACACTCTGTGGGGCTCGACTGCCTTCACAACATGTTTCACGGTCTCATCAATTTCATACATACTCATTACCAGACTCAAAATGGTGGATGAGGTACTGCTAGACCTCGCAGCTTTCCCAAATCATAAATATATTCAAGTGTTTTTCTATCAAATAGATCTTGGCGTATTCATTTCTAAGGAACGCTTCTGGGATTGGTTTGTATTCTGACAGCTGACCTAATTATTGTGCCCAAATATGCTGCTCTGGTTGTCCCAGGTTCATTGCATAGACCAGTGCTGTGTGATTGCATTATGATTGATTTTTGCCCAGCTCTCACTTCACAACACATCTCATATGGCAGATACTTAAAAGAAAATAAGAACTGCTGTTTAAATGTGCGGTGAGGGACCAGCTCGTATGTCAAGGTATGGCATTCCCATTTCTTTCCATGATGAAACAAATCTCCGGATGTGCACTGTGAAATGTCCCTGGATGTGCACTGCATGTTTTTATTATAAATTTTTTTTTCTCAAACTTATAATAAAAATATCCTGTATATTTCAGTAGAAAATCTTTTTTAAATTTAATTTTAAATCAAATTAAATCACTTTTACTGTCACATCATCAGCAGCACGTGTACTATGATGGGTGAAAAGCTTAGGTGCTATCTCCAGACAATGCAAAATCCAGACAGTGCAAAATTCAACAACATACTCCATAAAACAGAACAATATACTATTAGCAATGTTGACATTAATACGTAAAATACTATAAATATGTGAAAGACAATAAATGGGTTAAGTAAAACACACATTACCCATATGTAGGCACATAGAGACAAGTACACAGTCAAAAAGGTGTACACATATTTAGGCAATATTGTTTTATATTCACATTTATTTCACATTTCATAGTTTGTTTGTTTTTTTTTTTTGAGTAAAAAATACCGGCAATTTCAGAGTGGAAATTGTTAAATTTTCCCCCAGCTTGTCCTTTTTTAGATCATGCATGACATCATAGTGACACCATTGCTGAGAGGATTCTGGATTATTCTGAGTTAAGGTAGACAGCATAAAAAGGAAAGGGGGAAACTATTTCTTTTCAGGCGTAAGTCTGAAAGAATATTATACCGTGCTGTTTTATCAGTTAGCAAATAATTCATTAATGTGATTTTCTTGTGCATCTATGTGTAATATGGCAGGATCTAAAAATGAAAAGATTAAGTCCATCCAATATAATTTAAGAAAAGAACAGGAGTCATACTTTAAAACTAATAATCACAGTTTGACTAATAAAAAAAAGCTAAATCCAGTTTTCTTTATTTTTGTCCTTCAAAACATCACAATAAATTGTAATGCAGAACGAAATTACGTTGCATCAGTTCCAACAAAAACATAAAAAAACTACAAACACTATAAAAACCTAACATAATAACCCAATTAAATAACCCAATAAAATAAATAACCCAATAAAAAAAAAATCGCAGAAGGTAATAAATTAATACTTAAATAACTATTGTTTTGCCATTACATTTTCTATGTGCGTAACAGAAAATGTCCAAAATTATTTTAGTGCAATTAAACAGAATTAGTTTTCTCATTAGCAGTATCTTCATTTTGGGAGACTTGTTTATGTAATGTCTTTTGCAAAAGCATCTCATTTAAAAGAGCAGAGAAAGATAAAATTCAATTCACAGTTCTTCAGACTTTTAGGTTGCTTTTGCACCACTAGAGGACAGCAGATTACTGGAAGTAAAAGGTGTCAGAAAAGACGTTTGTTGTAACTTCAGAAAAGAAATGTATTGTGTAATAAACATTTGGGAAAAGTATGATGAGACTGTACCTGGTGGTTACATTAGATATAATTTAGCAATATAATTTACTTTATATATGGTTGAAAGGTTAATTATAGTTACTACAGAATGTGATGATACAATAATGCTTAGTAAACAATAGTAATTAGTAAATGCTTACATAACTTAAGACATAAAGACATATAAGACATAAACCATCAGAATAAAATTATAAAATTTGATTTCAAACTTACTGACCTCAGATTGATGGCAGGAAGGACAGAACATCATATTGCTGACTTCTTGGTGTGAGCTGATCTGATTTAACTGTAGGAGAGACACAAGACATTTTTATCTTTATGACTCAGACAAGTTTTTTTTTTTTTACAATTAAAACTTACTTATAACCTTTAGTTCTGTAGAGGCTAAAATCTACAGAACAGAGCAAGACTGGAGTTACTGGCTCAGGAGTTGTGATTTAACCAGAAGAAATTCGCTTGAGAGAAGCAGAAGAATTCAATCTCAGATAATTTTGCAATATAATTTACTTTAAATACTGGTTATATAGTTAATTATGGTTACTGCAGAATGTAATGAAATGCAAATGCATATGATATTAACTAAAACAACAGTAATTAATAAATACTTAACCAAATACATTTATAATGATGTTTAAAATATAATATTCCAAAATAATGCACTTATTTGAAATATTAAGCAATTACTTGCCAGTGAATGCATTACAAAAAGTGTACATTATTAGAACATGATGTAAAACTAACATTTTTAAAGTTTAAACTTTAGAATTTACATGTGTTAGCACATATTCATTCATTCATTTTTTTGTTGGCTTAGTCCCTTTATTAATCCGGGGTCATCACATCGGAATGAACCACCAAATTATCCAGAAGGTTTTTACGCAGCGGATGCCCTTCCAGCCGCAACCCATTTCTGGGAAACATCCACACACACACACTCATACACTACGGACAATTTAGCCTACTAGTCTTTGGACTGTGGGGGAAACCGGAGCACCCGGAGGAAACCCACGCAAAGGCAGGGAGAACATGCAAACTTCACACAGAAATGCCAACTGAGCCGAGGTTCGAACCAGCAACCTTCTTGCTGTGAGGCGACAGCACTACCTACTGCACCACTGCCTCGCCCCTGTTAGCACATATAATAATAAAAATAAACTGAGTACACTAAAGTGGCCTTTTATTCAACTATATTATCTGCAATAACAGCATATCTCTCTCGCACTCTCTTGATCCAATGCAAACAGATAAAATGTCATGACAGCTTGCCAGTGGACCAAAAAAGAGGTTTCTACAGATCCTTTATCACTGATAACGGCACATTCCATGCTCCATTTTAATCTATAACACACATATCTATGGCAAGCTGACTTTTATTCAATCCCAGAAAATGAATTCTTGATATGAAAAATTCAGATGCTGATACAGTGCATCTGGAAAGTATTCATAGCGCTTCACTTTTTCCACATTTTTCTATGTTACAGTTTTATTCCAAAATGGATTAAATACATTTATTTCCTCAAAATTCCACACACAATTCAACATAATGACAATGTGAAAAAATAGTTTTTGAAATTGTTGCAAATTTATTTCAAATAAAAAGCCTAAAAAATCAAAAGTATTCACAGCCTTTACTCAATACTTTGTTGATGCACCGTTGGCAGCAATTACAGCCTCAAGTTTTTTTGAATATGATGCCACAAGCTTGGCACACCTGTCTTTGGGAATTTTTGGCCATTCCTCTTTGCAGTACCTCTCAAGTTATATCA